GACATTGCTCGCCCTCTGCTGAGAGCCTACCTTTCAAGGAAGGACGATCCATGAGGTCTTACAGAAATAGGCGACATTTCATTGCATCAGTGCAACGCAAGAATGGTGTACCTTCAGAGATTCCTACCTCTGAAATGTATTGACGGTTCTGCTTTTGCCTCATGGTTATTCCACACTAGTTGATCCCTTGCAACAGTCTCGACTCACTTAGCAATGGTCGGGAACCACCTTGGAGTTCCTCTGGATCCCATATCTGTAGCATTCTACAAGTATTCTTTGTGTGGTCCAAACACAACATACTTGGACCTTTTCCTTTCGGCATTCTTGAACCCTGAAGCTGACCCACCTTTATTTTGTGTGCCCCTCCCATGCCTTGGACTACTCTGCTCCTCACCTGGCGTTTGTGGCCTGAACATGGTCTGTGGACGGCCAGCTGTCCACAACCATGGGCCATAATCTCCCTGCCCAAGGAAACGGGGTCTCCTTCTTATAGGGTAGGTTCGCTGTGCCCCACAACCCTTCCCACCTGGCGAAGAAAATTTGCTAGCTGATAAGTAAGTCCTATTTGGGAAGGATCACTTATCAAGACCGCCGCTCGCTTTTCTGTGCTCTCTCCCTCTTTCCAGGCCTACCTACCTCCCCTCCCCTGCTCTCTGTCTGTCTGTCTGTCTGTCTGTCTCTCTCTCTCTCTCGTTTGATAGAACGCGAGTGAAGGAGACAGGACAGTGGGCGTCCGGCCCGGCATGCTATCTACCAACCATTCAACTATCGTCCGTAGTTTACACTGAGTTCCCGCCCCCCAAAGACGGCTGTGGCCACAGAGAGGGCAGGATGGGGACGAGCCGCTGGACTGAAATCCTTATATAGAGCCGCGGCACTTAAATACATTGCAATTTATCTTGGATTTAATTTGTTCTCCGGTATTTCTGCTACACCTTTCTGGCAGTTTCCAAGCAGATATCCCATTAAATAATGCATCTCAAGTCAAAATACAAATGCTTTTTATGTATTTCGACTTTACCTCCCCCCCCCCCTGTCGCCGTCTCTCAAACCATGCTGTTTCATCCTCTGTTCTCTTGAGTCATGATCTCATACATGCGCCCGACAAGCGATAGGGTGAGGTGCCATGGTATGCAATTTTCGTCTTTACTGACTCCGCCTCCCTTCCCATACCTTCGGCTCGCGACAGGAATAAGGGGGCTCGCGACAGGAGATGATCACGTGATGGTGGCTGCCGTGAATGTCTCAGTCCATAGGCCTCATTTTCCACAGTTGCGATTCAAATTACAGAAAATATACATTCTCAATATTTATATGCCAGATTAAACGCTGCCATTTCAACTCTAAACCAACTAAACTTTTCAAAATCTCTTGTTGCACAGAATAATCAGTTAGTTTTATTCTATTAGCACTTTGTTTTCCTTCAACAAGAACTTAATATTTCGATTGAAATATTAAGTAACGATTGAATGGCCAGTGCAATTATGGTGATCATGATAACCCAAATCAAATGTAGTGCATTTACAAGAATATTCTGGCCGTTCTACTCTGTAGTCATCCGTAATATTATAAAGTGTAGAGGGAATGTAGCAACCGTCTTCATTTGCGATCCAGTTTTGACTCATGTTCGTTGTTACAGAAACATTAACGATGGTGATAGTGAAAATGAAATTAATTTAGCGGTACCTAACACTAATTAATGACTTTAATTCTAATAAAAAGTAAAAAAAAATAATAGTATATATATGATGGCACCGCCACTATATACGATCATCCTTTCTCATATCATAATTAGCGTAACAAGCATAAGGACATTGAAACGAAGCTGCATGCACTAGCTGGTGTGCAAGCGAAACAGAAAGATTGCAACATTCATTGTTTCATTCTTGTGAATTGAACTTCATTCCAGCTGCCAATGCATTCACTCAACTCCACAATGAAATATTCAAGTTAAAATCTGTCTCTACAGAAGACACTGTACTCAATTTATATCCACCTTATAATTACGTGTATATGTAATAACACCAAGGAGTTAGACAGAGAAGAGAAACAGAATAATATAGCACCCTTTGTAGAGACCTGCATCGTACCTCCGCCAACACGTTCAAGAACGACGTCGTACGGAGGAGGAAGAGGCTGACACCGGGAAAGAGTTCATTGAAATTTCCCTTTATTGTGCCCTTTATCGACAGGAGCATGGCGGGAGACTCAGCACCGATATGCATTATACGGCCTTACAGGAAAGGAGACGAGGACACCATAAGAGATATAATGACAGAGGCCACAATGGAAACAGTTGGGGAGTTCTTCTGGTCGGCTGTTATGTCTGAGGTCTTCCCACAGGTGATGTTTTGTTATTTTTTTATGCTTTATATTAGGTCTTACTGAATGAGTAGGATGTGTCTTTCCATTATTATACAGAGTTTACTTATGTTGGTTGTGTTACGTGTTTTTTAATAGATTGTTAAAGTAGGAGCTTCTTCATCATTCTTTGCCAAAGTACAGATAGGTATAAATTTATTTATTGGCAATTGTGTATTTTGTAAGATTTTTAGTAGTAATTACAGTACTGGTAAATTTTCTGCCGGCCTTCTCTCTCCTCTTCTTCCGCCACTTCCTCATCTTTCCCTTTTCGCTGTTCTACATCCTCTTCGTTTTCCTCTTCCTTTTCATCTTCCTTCTCTTTCACTTCTCTTTTACCTAGATGCTGTGGTTACAGTGACTTCTTGGCAAACTTAAGCATAGATCACTGCCAGTTTTGATTCCATTCAAGCTTCAAGTGGAATCGAATATAGTTAATGCCATTTTCGAAAAGAATTGATGATTTTTTTTTAGGGGGAGTGATAGGAATATTTACCACAAAAGTGTGACATAGAACGAATCACACTCGAAACAAAAAACACGAGATGGCCAAATAATCCTCTGTTTACACTTGTGAACACATGAGAAGGCAGAGGAAATAGATAACATAGATATGTCTGTACGTGTTTTGTTTTGTATAATTGAATGCAATAAGCAGTATCAGAGTTACTTATTTCATTAATACACTTATTCCCTTTTGCTCTCTATCCATAGGCAATTTTGATCATTATATTTATTTTATAAGTTTAGTTTTTTTATAAGTAGCTGCAGGATTTTATTTATATAGAGAGATATTAAAGGCTCTTATTATTACTTGATTTATATACTTGTTTATTATAATTATTATTGTTGTTGTTTTTGTCATTATTGTTATTATTTTTATTAGTAGTAGTAGCATTGGTATTATTGTTGTCATTAATATAATTATCATCGTTGTTGTCATTTTCGTTGTCATATTCGTCATCATCGTTATTATTGTTATTGTTTTGTTGTTTTTATTGTTATTATGGTTGTTGATGATAATGATGATTATTATTATTGTTGTGTTGTTGTTGTCATTTGTAGTTATTGTAATCATTATTATTATATTATTATTATTATTATCATCATAATTATTAATGATGATAATTTTTTTTAATTATTTTTTATAATGATTATGTCAATATTAATTATAGCTAATTGTCATTATTACTAAAGAAATTTTGTTATTGGTATCATTATGATCATAATACTTCTTTGATTTTTATTTTCATTTTCTTTATAATTTATATCTATTTCAAATAATTGTATTTTTTATTTTTATTATTTTGTTATATTTTTATTTGTATTTTATATTATATCATCATTGTTAATATTAATTGTTTTTTATTTTATTTCCTTTATTGTTTATTTGATTCAATTCCATTTCTTGTTTTATTTATTCTATATTTTTTCCCTAATTTTGCTTTGTTTGATTTTAATATGTTTTATGCTTTATATTATTTTGTTTTAGTTCATTTTATTTTTATTTTTCCATGATTTTATTTTTATTTTTTATTCTTATTTCTATCTTTATTTTAAATCTTTAATTTCTATTTATTTATGCTTTTATTCTTAACTTTACTTTACTTTGTTCTTCCCCCTCTTTTACTGCTTTCTGCACCTCCTCTTCCTCTCTCCTCCTCCTCCCCTTTCTTTGGCTCTTCCTCTCTCTTCCTCCTTCCCTTTCTTTGGCTCTTCCTCTCTCTTCCTCCTTCCCTTTCTTTGGCTCTTCCTCTCTCTCCACCATATCCATGCTCTTATCCGCTTCTTGCTCCTCTTCCTCGTCCATGTTTACTTTTTTTCTCTTCTCTTCTCTTACGCATATCTTATAGCATGTATGTCAGACTTTATATGTATGTATGGAGTGATGATAGACTTTTTTATCATCATCATCAATATCATCAACATCATTAATAATCATCTGTCCAATTTGAACACCAAACCTTTGGCTTTGTATAAAAATTGAGGGAACATCATTTATATTTAATCATTGGTTTCTTTCAGGTCTTATAGCATGTATGTCAGACTTTATATGTATGTATGTAGTGATGATAAACTTTTTTATCATCATCATCAATATCCTCATCATCATCAATAATCATCTGCCCAATTTGAACACCAAACCTTTGGCTTTGTATAGAAATTGAGGGAACATCATTTATATTTAATCATTGGTTTCTTTCAGGTTGCTCTTCTTGTTATTGCATTTGCTTTCATTGGACTGGGGGTGCCCTTTTATTTTTGCCTGTTCGGCATCCCAGTTGCAGTGGGTGTGATATACGGCGTGATTTGGTCGGCTCATTTATTCAAGGTGAGCGCTTCTTCAGAGTTTGTTCACTGATTGGATTTTGCATTGAGTTAGAGAAGGAGGTTGAAAGAATGGAGATCAAATTATGCCTGAGAGAGAGTGAGTGTGTGTGCGTGTGTGTGTGTGTGCGTGTGGTGTGTGTGTGTGTGTGCGTGTGTGTGTGTGTGTGTGTGTGTGCGTGTGTGTGTGCGTGTGTGTGCGTGTGTGTGTGTGTGTGTGGTGTGTGTGTGTGTGCGTGTGTGTGTGTGCGTGTGTGTGTGTGTGTGTGTGTGTGTGTGTGTGTGGTGTGTGTGTGTGTGTGTGTGTGTGTGTGTGTGTGTGTGTGTGTGTGTGTGTGTGTGTTTATGCATGTGCATACGTGTGTGTGTGTGTCTGTCTGTCTGTGAATATTTCAAGTTTGTCTCAAGCAGATTTTAGGTGCAAATTTTTCAAGAACTTGAATATACCCAAAGGAAATACATATTTCATATATCAAATACATGCAGTATTGATTGAATGCAAAATTGAAAAACCTACTGTAGACTACCTCTTATGTATCAGTGAAAATGTAAATAAAAGACATATTAACAAAAATACTTTCAATATAAAGCATTATAAAATGTGTACATAGATGTAATTCTATGCATCTAAACATAGCCTAAATAGTAAAAAGCCAAAGAGAGGATTTTTTAATCTTAAAAAATCTCATTGATTTTCTTCATAGGCTATGGAACTCCATGAAGATCTGAACAACATTCAGAAAACATACATGGAAGACCCTGACACTGGATTCTGGGTTGCTGAAGTATTGGAAGTCAGTGAGGCCAATGAACTTGATTCCCTTGTTAACAAAGCTAAAAAGGTATAGTTTGTTGCTCAAATTTCTTTAGCATTAAGCCTGTTTGTACTGGTGTCAGACTCCTGTTGACTTATTTTGGTTTTTTACTTTAATGATTTCTTTTTATATGAAAAGAATTGAAAGAAAAAATGGGCTATAATTAGCATTTGGCTATACATTTTGTCACTTGTGTTCATTATTTAAATTTCATCACACTATCTAATGTATCAGATATGGTAGAAAAAACCACAGTGCACAAATGGGGTTTATTGAAAATGAGACCACAGTTTCTAAATCCTCCTGGATTTCATCTTCACTTGTGAATATAGAATTCTAACATTTGACTTTGCAGGTTGAGTATGATTTTCTTTCCGAAGAAGAATTCCACATGAGAAATATAAACTTGGATGGCTTCAGGAAACATCTAGTTGGGACAGTTGCCATCACCAAGTCGCAGAGAGGAGGACTCAGGTAATCACAATGGAGATTATCTTATTGTTATTATTGTCATTATTATTTGTTTATATCTCATATAATATTTTTTTTATGGATAGGATATTACAGTTGGTGAAGATATATATGATGATTATTTTTTCTTCTTGAGATATAGCTGTCAGGGATTAATATCTACTTCATCAGCTTTTGACATTAATTTTTTTTTTTTTAACTATTCTGATCATTGACAGTTTTCACCTTTTAGCAGCTCATGGAGCAATGTCTTCAAAAATACTTGGCTAAAGTATACAAATGCAGTACTACTGTTATAGAGAAGTGTTAAAGTACATTTTCTTGGTCAATGTTGCAGGGCTTGGCTGAGACGCATGGCAGTGAGGAAGGCTTACAGGCGCCGGGGAATTGCCATGCAACTCCTAGAGCAGGCCATCCAGTTCTGCACAGACAGGTGCCATGAGGGGATTGAACTCATCACAACGGAATGCCACTATAAGGTGCAGTTGGATTTTTTGTTGTTGTTGTAGTATCTTCAGAGCCACTTAATCACCAATATATCTGTTATTGACACCCACCAATATCAGCATGCATTATCATTGATCAACAGTATAAAAATGCAGTAGTGCTGCATAATATCCAGTTTTCATGTATTGTTCTTCAGTATTCATCATCAGTGTTGTCATGTATAATTGTTTATTAATTGGCTTAACAGGAATATTTATTCTTTCTTGTTTTTTTAGTCATCTGTGATATTTTTTATCTAATATTTTTGACTAGTCATATTTTGTGCTTTTGTCTAGATATTGCCAGTAAACCTGAAATCTTGACTTCATTTTTAAAAATAAATAACCATTTTTGTAATGGAAATACATTATAAGGATTATAAGTATACAGGCACTTGAAGTCTTCATGATGATTGATTGTTTTGTTTTGCGCTTATTTATGCTTTCAGGCACGTGAGCTGTATTACAAGAGAGGTTTTACAGCAGAGCACACCTATTACAAGTACTATTTCAATGTGCGACAGCCAATGTACCTCTTCGCAATGCCTTTGAAGCCCCCCAAAGCAAATCTTGCTGAAGTATCAACTATGTAGAGCATAATCCTGTTGTTGATTATGCTTGCTGACATGTATGGAATCATAATGAATTTTTTATACACATTTTGATCTTCCAAGATGATTGACACCATTTACGATAAACAATTAATTTTTGAACAAGAATGCTTGTTAGGGATATCTGTTAGTGCCTTATATTGTTTTGTTATAAAATAGTTCCTAAATTTTCAGTGAGGAAGCATTCAGGGTGATATGCAGCTGTATGGTTTATTTTTGGGGAAAGTAATATGTAGATTTAAGATATTATGAAAACAATGTGATATTTTTAAATGTTTTGATGAACTAAACCTGTTTCATATGTCTCCAGAGAAACTCGGAATTGTTTACAACCTTTGTTTTGACTTTAATAGGTCTATGCCTTGCAAGTTGCTCACAAATTTTGTAATGTGTGTTTTATCATCATTTGTTTGTCTTATGTAGGCACTGCATAACTGGAAGAAGTATGTAATTATGTAATGTAATGCTTATATGGCATTAGGATATCATGTCACAAATTAACTTTTTTTTTTTATGTAATTTTTCCTTTTCTGGTACTGAAGAGAGATGATAGGCAATCATGAAACTGTTTTATGTCCATGCTCTTTCTTTTTCTGCTCAATATTGATAGTATGTCATATTTATGCATTTCATGTGTAACATTAATAGTTCGACCTATGGATAAATAAACTACCACCACTATGGCTCTTTCAGAAACTGATGATAAGCCCAGAATCTCACATTTTATGCTCATGTTCATTAATATAATTTTGTGACTTATAGATGACTCCTATGTTGTTACGGCTCGTCTCTAGGTGACTTACAGACAAGATTGATTTACAGAGAAATGCTGTTACAAAGTGCCATCATTGGCATTATTTATATATTTATGTAACTCGGAACATAAGGTCATACATATGTTAGTTCTGGACAATAAGTACATGTTATCATTATTCGTAAGAATCTTTTCTGTTGGTAATCATTTTTTCCTTATATGAATTCTAAGTTACTTTGTTTCACATGTTTTTTGCCCAACTTCTGATAATTAAAACGGAAGCAGGGGAATAGTTTCATTGCTTTATCAAGACATGTATAAAGAAGATTTATAACAATTTTTTCCTATCCTGGAAGAAATTTTGTAATCCTGCTTGTATATATTTCTTGTTTTACCTTTTTAATGAATTGCATTGTACATTACTCTTCCAATTCTCTAAGAATTACAAGGAAATACAAAGATGGAACTGTTCTGTTATTTTTAAGTTGGAGTTTACACTTTACTAAGTATACTTCCTTTTAAAAAAAGTATATTGCAAGTATGTGAAGTCTAAAATTAGAATATTGTAGTAAAAGGAGGATTTAACATGAAAGACTATGCCTAATATTAGTATATTCATGAACACTAAACTAGTAGATATGTAAATGTGCCGAAGGACAGTCCCAGTGCCAGTGTTCTGTCTTGTGAGATACATTGACATATGTTGTATTTCCCAAAGTTTATCTACCTTTGTCACATTTATTTTTGTAATATGATGCCCACAAATAAAGGAACACATTGATTTTAGATATATTTTATGAATGTCATTTTTTACAGGTTTTTTACCCTATTTCTTCTCTCTGTTTAATTGGAATACTTGTCAATGATGTTTACAGTACCAAAGTTTCATCCACAAGACAACAGCTGGAATGGTAATTCCTGGGTAAATAACCCCCCAATCCCATGTCTATTATTGTCGTGTGGGGGTTTAGGAGATGGGGAATGAGGCCCAATGTTGGGGATCTCTCCTGCCATGGGCCTTGGCACAACCAATTTGTCATCTCCTTTCCTTTCCCTTATCTTCACCAACGCCTTCTGCCCAGTACCTCAGAAGTGAGAGCTGCATTGAAAGGATAAAAGGCTGGTTCAGGGAGCCTTGAACTTGATATTTCCTTGCTTAGATATCTATCCCTTACCACTCATGGGGATGCCGAAGCATACCATTTTTCTTCCCCACATACTCTAGGCCTAGCATTGCAAGTAAATGATATTGTAACTTTATTTGGGGCGTTTGGCCCTTCCCAAAACGTAGCTCGTTGTCGTCGTGGGAGAGCTTAGGAGATGAGAACTGAGACCCAATGTAGGTATCAACCCTACCTTGGGCCTCAGACCTTGCCTCAACTAATTTTGCTTGGTCCTTTCTTCTCTTCCTTCCTCTTTTGTATCTTCTTTATTCCCTTCCTTTATCCCATTCCTAAGGTGTGAGAGCCATGCTGAAAGGATGAAAGGCTAGCTTTTTGTCAGTCAGGAACGGCCTCTGGGAGCCATGGGCACGGTATTCCCTTGGTTAATTGCCTAGCCCTTACCTCATGGGGACCCTGAGGGGCAGACCGTTTATCCCCCAGATTATTCAGGCTCACCATAACCAGTAATGCAGTTTTTTTTACCCTTAATAGGGGCATTATGGCTTGCCCCTTCATCAAGTAGTCTATTTGATATTGATGGTTTTCCGACCCCTGCCCCTCCTTTGACCACAGCTTGGACCACTGATGCTAATACCCCCTCTTCGACGCTGACGAACAACTCAGGTTATTACTCAACCCCTAGAAAGCACCTTTTCCTCATCCCCAACATTCTCTTCATCTCCTGCTGCACAGTCCTCTTCAATGTCAACCCCCTCTTCCCTTGTTACTACTCCTATATATTATACTGTACTATAACACTCTCATACCTTTGACATCTAACACATTTCATCGTAATCTTTAACTCTCCTTTGTCCATTCCGACGCAATACTTTACCATAGTGTTATATGACCTTTGATGTCTAGCACATTTATTTTTAAACATTAAACATTAGGGGCGTTTGGCCTTGTCCTTTTATCAACTAGCCTCTCCGATATTAACTAACCGGTTCCCAACCCTTGGCTCGCCTTTAATCACAACTCTGAGCTCTGCTATTACCATTCTCTCCTCGTTAGCTCAATCTACTCCAAGTCGTCCATCCAGAGCATTACCCAACCTCCAGAAAACTTTACTTCCTCTCTTCCAACATTATCCGTTCATTCAAACCGCTCCTCCCGTATTAATGCTCTCCATCCTTTTTATCCACCTCCCCGCTGTACTGCCTCACTCAGTACTACCTCTTCCTTACGTCCTCGTCCTCCAACCATTCCTACGTTTTTTTCAGCCCAGCTAAGTGGGATTGATTTTTTGTGATTCCCTTGACAGCCCCGCGCTATGCACTCTCTTCCAACAATATATCCTAAAACAATTAGGCAAAGTCTCCTTCCTCAGTCTTCCGATTGCCCACACTTTGTCACAGTTATATATGAGTCCCAAGCTCGTGCATTATCTACCCTAACTGACCTCACTGGTAAACCTTTTCCTTACCAGCCTCAGTCCTCCCTTAATACTTGTACCGGAACGGTTTCTATCTCCCGCGCTCATTGCTCTGTCTACAGCAAGGATTGGTCTGACTATGGAAACGACGTGCTTGTATGGCTCTTTAACTATGATGCAGTATCAATACTATCCCCCTAAATACGGCCGAAAGTCCTACACCAATATTGCTAAGATTACCTTCCGTAGACATGACAAATCTCATGAAGTTTATGTTGATGGAGAGCCCTACCAAAGCTGGTCATGGCCGTTCAAACTGTTCTGCCCAATCACGCACATGTGCTAAGAGTGGTGGCTCCCATAAAGAATTTTATAGGGGATGGCTTACCTGTAAGTTCGAATCAGGTAGCAGTCTTCAGATTCAAACTTGGCCTCACTTTGAGTGAATCCAGGAAGGAAGCACCCCGACGAGATTTTTCTCTTCCCTACTCCAGTGTTGTACTTAGATCTGCCCCTTCCTTTTCTGCTCAAGATGTTTCCACATTTCCCCCAGTATCTCTCCCCTTCTTACATCTACCCCCTCCCTCTCGCAATCAAATTCTTTTGCCATTCTAAATTCAGGCATCAATCTCTCCCACTTTCCCGGTACCTAACCCTCCTTGTTCTACCCATTGCATCAATCTAAATGATCCACCCCATCTACCGCATACTCTCCTGCACTTGCCTCTTCTGCTCCTCATACGCCCATCTTCCCCCGCATTAGAAGACCTTCATTACTCAGACCTCAACCAAAACCCTCTCAGAAACTCCCCAAATTATTTTTCATTGCACCCATATTCATGAGACGGTAAAGTCGTACAGTAATTTAGAATAATTCAGTATTAAAATGGTTAAGAAATGTGAGGGCAGAGGGTAAGGACATGGGGCAAAGCAGGGATTAATAAAAGGATAACATGAGGAAAAGGATGGATGTTGGTCGTCACTTTGCGTATAGAAGGAATGGGAGCTTGAGAGGGTAGATGAGTGATTTGCATGTTTATTTTTGTTATAATTAGAACGTTTTGAATATTCTCCAGAATTTCTGCGAGGTTAATGGTTGAAATAAATGTGCTAGACATCAAAGGTCATATAGCAAGCACTATGGTAAAGTATTGTGGCGAAGAGGGTAAAATGAGTTAACGATTAGGATAAAATGTGATAGATGTTAAAGGTTATAGAGTATAGGATAGTATGATAGGGAAAGGGTGAAGAGGGGGAGCAAATGAAGTAAATTGGAGATTAGTAAAGGAAAAGGTTAAAAGTACATGGCGGTTGAATGAAATGGAGTGTATCTGTGGCTGGGGAAGCAAAAGAAACAGTTTGCGGAAAACAGGTAAAAAGCTATTATGAAACAAACAACAGGCAATGCGAGTAGAGATGGTTGTTGGAGAAGAAGCAGGAAAAGAATCTGGGGAATGAGATAAGGGGACTGAGTACATTGGTGAAGTATCAGAAAAAAAATGTCAGGAGGGGAGGGATACGGAGGACACTGTTGCGACAAAAGGGATTCACGTGAGTATCAAGGCGGGAGAGGTAAGGATAATGAAGAATAGAAAGGGAATGGTGCACATGGAGAAGGAAAGGATAGAGTGTGCTGGGAAAGAATGGGAGGAAGAGGGTAATGAACTTGAGGAGGAGGGATATCAGCAAATACTTTGAATGTAGAAGGCATGGGAATACAAGGGTTAGACAGTGGATGAGGGATCGGAACTTTCCCTTCGGTGATATCTAGGAATTTTTGGATGTTTTCAAGTGTCTGGAAGGGAGTTGGGTGGGGAGGTCTGAGAAACAAAGGTTCTCTTGTGAGGAGGAGAAGAGGGGATAGATGTTCGAGGAGCAGAGGAAGAGAAGGCTGAAGGAGAGGATGTGGTAGGCGAAGATGGAGTGTAACATTTAGGCTGTCTGGTGCGACAGGTAAAGTGAGGAGGTGGGGTAAGCTTTGGAGAAGCGTTATAGATTAGAGTATCTGGATTTAGCTTTAAAATGAATTTGACGGGGAAAGAAGGGGTAGAGTAGGATGGTTCAGGGTAGAGGTATGAGATACTAGGGAGTGGAGCGCCACATAAGAAGAGTGGAGGTTGGGGACCTATACATGCGCGAGAGACAAGGATGGAGAAAGATTTGAGGTAGAAAAGCAAAACCCATGGTTAGTGGCCCAGGAAGACATGATATTGCAGACTGAAAGAATTGGCGGAGATTTGGTATAGATATGACAGAGGCGTAGAGGGTTAAATAATCAACATATGGTGTTGCCCGGGCTCCTGTTGGTAGAATTGAGGCAATGACATTAACAGCAAGAAGGAATAAAGTGGTGCTGAGCACACTGCCTTGCGGGACACCTTCGAACTGAGGAAATGGTGATGACGAGGAAGAGACAATTTTGACCTGGAAAGTACGTTTGGAGAGGAAATGAGAAGGAAAATTTCCTGACGTCCATATGTGGTTAAAAATAGTTAAAAGGAAGGATAGAGAGGAAGATGGGAGGTGTCGGAGCATACGATAGTGAATACAGCCAGAGCCTTCATGAGTATTGCAGCTCGTCTGTAAAGCAGCATTGAGTTCAGAGGAAGAAAAGGGAGCATTATAGGACTCATCAGAAAATAGGGTGAAGGTGATGGGGGTGCGTTCCCTGATGGTCTTAATGGAAGAGAAGTGTGAGGAAAGGTGAGAGCCGCTACTGACCTGGCTGAAATAGTCGCCCAGTTCACTAGCGACTTGGATAGGATCAGAGATGAGAGTATCTCGAATATGGAGGACGGGGCAGGATGGGGGAGGGGGGGGAGTTGCCAAATAGTTTATGGATCCGACGCCAAACAGCTGAAATAGAAGTAGATGTAATTGAGGAAACAATTTCGTCAGATATTTGTTTTACTGTTCCGGATTGTACGATATGACTGGTGGATGCTTTTTTAAAGGAGATAAGGGCCTCGTTTGTAGTGATAACTGTTCTAGGCTGCACGTTTTAAGGGACTTTGGTGCAATCAGAATTCCATCATGGAACACACTTGGAGGTATAAGGTCTTGAGATTCGAGGAATGGCTGTATGGGCAACTCTTAGGATCGTGGCTGTAAAACATAGTCGCATATCTGAAATGGGCGGGAAGGGTATAAAAATGGGAAGGATAGGTATAGTAGAGAGTGAAGTGAAAGTACACTAGTCAGCTCTATCAAAGCGCTAGCGTGGGGGATTAGGAAGTGGGACATATGAAGTTGGAGAAAGAAGTACTGGAAGTGATCACTATAGGCAAAGTGGCCTAGAATTGACCAATGGAAATCTAACTGGAGAGAGGGGGAGCATAGAGAGCCATCAAGGCATGAAAAAAATTGCGTGCGCATGTGAAAGTGTGTGGGGCGATCTGCATTAAGAACAATTAGGTTATTTGTGGAGAGGAAGCGTTCTAGGAATCGGCCTCTGGAGGTAGTAATAGTATCATCCCAAAAAGTGTGCCGGTAGTTAAAATCACCAACTACGAGGAAAGGTGGTTGGAGTTAGGAAATTAGAGTTTCAAGGGCAACAGAATCAATGGATGGGAAAGGGAGAAGTAGACTGAAATAACTGATTCAACGGCGAAGAAATATGCTAATAACTGTGCACGGGACAGTGGTTTGAAAGGGAGGTATGACATAAGGTGTTTTCTGATGGATGAGTATAGGCGAGACATGAAGGGAGTGTGAGGAAGAGACAAAATGGTAGTTTTGAATTGGTACAGGAGGATGTATAAGAAAAGTCTTGGAGGCACATACTGGATGGGTTATAAGGAGAAAGGATATGACGGTCAGGTCTGTGAGAACGGAAACCGCGAATATGTAGGAGAGCTATTATTTTCTTGATCTACGAGTGATAACAGTTACAATGCGTGTTGGAGAATTTGAAGGGGAAGAAGTTAGGGGGTGAGATAAGGAATTAGAGGGGCTGTAGTATCAGGAGGGGTATCAAGAGGAGGAGGATCTGGGGAAGGACATAATTGTGACATTAGGGATTCACGTGTGTAGCCAGGAGGGAGAGGAGGGGATAGAGGGGATGGAGGGAGGGTTAATGTGGGTGTAGTTGGAGCTGGAGGGGATGGGCTGTGTTGGGAGGGAGTAGGAGGAAGGGGTGTAGGGGGAATATGAGTAGGAGGATGGATATCGGCAGTAGTTGGGAGTTGAGGGGGACGGGTTGTGTTGGGAGGGGGTAGGAGGAAGGGGTGTAGGGGGAATATGAGTAGGAGGATGGATATCGGCAGTCACTTTAAGTGTGTAAGGAGCAGGAGTTGTGGAATTTGAGGGTGGATGAGAGTTTTCGGTGTCACTTTGTGATATTGCAGTAGATATTGGAGTGTCTGGATTTAGAGTGGCAAAAGAATTTGACTGGGGAAGGTAGGCGGTAGAAATGGGGAAGTAACTAGGTATAGGAGAGGGTATAGGACCATCTTGGGAGGGAGGGGGAGGGGCAGAGCGAGCGGCATTACTGGAGTAAGGAGTATGAGATAATCCGTCGTCATGCTTCCTGTCTAGCTTCACGCAGAGTGAGACCAAGTCTGTATCTGAGAGTTACCACCTCAGATTCAAACTTGCAGGTGGGGCAGCCCCGTTAAATACATTATGGAGGCCGCCGCAATTAGCACCCGTGCGTGACTTGCAGAGCAGTTTGATAAGTTATGACCAGGTTGGGCACATAGGGGGCATCGGGCTGTGGAACGGCAGGTTTGGCAGGATATCCAAAACGGCAACAGTTTTGACATTGACGGGGAAGAGGTTGATATGGTCGGACAGAGAGGAATTCACTACCAATGTAAACATTAAAAGGAAGGTCATGTCTACGGAAAGTAATTTTGGCAATGTTGGCGGGGTTTTTACGATGACCTCTTGGAGGAATGGAGTTGCACTGTACTGATATTACATCACAGTCCGTGAGGCAGGCGAGTAAATCTTCTCAATCTGACCAATCTTCCGGTACAAATATTGAGGGTTGGTTGAGGTTCAGCAGGAATGGGGTTGCCAGAGAGATCAGTTAGAGTTGATAATGCTATAGCTTGGATTTCGGATTGGGAACGATCGGGCCGGCTACGGAAAGAGACTTTGCCTACTTGTTTTTGAAGATTGCTGAAGGAGAAGAGTTGTGTGAGTAAGGAGCTGTAGGGGGATCACAAAAGTCGGTCCCATTTGGTTGGGCTAAATAGAGAATTTAAGATATTTGTAGAGATGGGGGTGGTAGACAGACTAGGACGAGTGGAAGAGGGAGTATTGTTGAGGAGGTAGTAAGGCTGTAAAGTAGTAATAAGGGAGGATGGGGATGATTGATGAAGAAGGTTGTGGGGGTAGAGGTGATGAAGTTGAGGAAGTTGGGAGGGTAGGAATGTCTCCTGGAGGTTGAGTCTCGACTTGGGTGAATAATATATTATTAGGCATTGAGGAGCGGGTAGTAATTGCAGTGTTAAAAGGAGAGCCTGGAGTCGGAGTTCCGAAAGTTTGAATTTGTGGGGCTATTTCATGAAGGGGCAAGCCTCATAGTCCCTAACAAGGGTATTCCGTCTTCATTATTGGCCATGGTAAGCCTAGACTGTGTTGGGGGAAGAAACAGGTAGGGGTAGGGGCTAGACAACTAAAACATGCCCATGGTTCCTTTGGCCCGTTTAGGAATGCCACAAAGTCAGCCTTTCATCCTTTCAGCGTGGTTCTCACACCTTTGGAAGTAGATAGTAGAAGAGGTTAGAGAAGGGACGGAAACGAAAAGACCGTTCAGAATTAGTTGAGACCCAAGGTAGGGGAGCCCTCCAGCATTGGGTGCCAGTACTTGCCTCCTATGCCCCTCACGACAACGGGCAAGGTATTGGGGATGGGGTGGGGGAGTTGTGAGGTGGTGTTGCCATGATAGTACGTTTTATCTCAGGGAATCAAAAATAAGTATTCCATAGTTGTTCTGCATAAACAAGTTGACAAGTTATAGGGCACCTTCCACATCACAGGGATGGTAGCAAGTAATTATGTTAATCCTTTTATAATATTAGAGTATATATTTCATGTGATTGTCACAATGATAACAATTATATGTTTGTTAATATTGATACTTATATATATTGTTATTGACATGCAATGATATTATCTTTTTATTAAGGCAAGATCAAGTGTGGATTTTATGGGGATTGTGAGAGGCTAGTAAAGCTACCCCATTCAGCATTAATAGTGTATGTAAGGCCAGGCGAGTAGCCAGTTGCTCTCGTGTTCACTCAATTATTGCCCTGTGAATCTGTACCCGTGTAAATATTGAACTATAGCATTGTTGCATAATTAAAGTGGTGGAAAATAAGTGTGTTTCGTTATCCATTCCACCACGAGTGATTATTCCAGGTGTATTGATATATTCTTGAACTAGAACTAAGTTTAAAGAATAGACTAAAGGAAAGTATCACTAACATGATCAAAGTACTATCAAGAAGTAACTGCTCCATCTTAATTCACTAAGTAATTCTGAATATAGTGGAACGGTGACTATATTTTTTTCTAAACCTTTTTTCAGTGGCCTTTAATTATTCAGTTTACAAAGCCTGGCAGTGGAAATCCCTGTACAGGAAATCAGAGTAAAACAGACAAATTTTAAACTCCAAACAGGAAAAAAATTATGCTATATGAAATTTGAAATAAACTTTTGTCAGATATGTAAAAAATGTTTTCCCTATTGTGCCTGGTGGAATAGAATGAAACAAGAATATTCACTTATCCAGTACTTAATAGGCACCTTTTTAATGTTAGAAAATAATTTCCAGTGTAATGTGGTGATATAAAAGAGATGCTTATATTTTAATTGCTGCAAGCAAGAAAGAGACTAAAATGGAAAAAAAAAAAAAAAAAAAAAAAAAAAAAAAAAAAAAAAAAAAAAAAAATTACACAATATTAATCATACCAAGAAAAAGGAAACTATTCTTGCCCATTTCAGCAATAAGATATAATACAAACAACTTAGCATGGTAAATTTTATTTACAAAACATACAGTATATGCAAATATTCAACAGATGCGTTTACTTTTAAATGCAGCCAGAGGAAAGGTAATGTAAATGTCAGATTCATACATTTTGGAAATCCTCATTTAAATGTGGTCACAAATATGATTATAGTAAGAATTAACACAATGATTTTGTTTACAATTTCAGTTATGTCAGAAGATTTCCTTTTTTTTTCTCAACTTCGGATTTTCAAATTACAGCATTTCTTCCATAAGCAGCACATGGAAATTTTGCCTTAACAATAAGTTGCTGTTAATACACTTTTAAAATTCAATAAGCCACAGGATGTCTGACTACTCAATTTAAAACACATCTATGAATAACCAAGAAACTATGTACAGACCCCTTAAAAGACTCAGTCTCTTGCCCAAAGAATGCCAGACGTGCTTAAAAGGGGGAATGATAATCTTATATCAGGAGCATCAGAGTCTGACTAGTCTAATCAATATCATTTACATATAATGTGACAAAAAGTCACCAAAGGAGTTTAAAATATTTTTTCTAAATATGTGACAATAATTACTCTCTTTTAAATAACGAAGATATCAATATTCCATTTAGTGGTTAAATAAGTCCCTTAGGCTCCTTTTATTAACTTGTTTCCCAATGCCAACAAAAGAATGTGTGGAACATAGAGCACAGCCTATTTAAATATGTTGAGAGCACTGATGCGCTTTACATGTCATAAAATGTGAATATATTAGCCTTCTCTAGATATTATTCTGACATTTGTATTTAAATAACCATCTGAAGCCTGCCTTCATAACCAGACAAAGAAAGTTCACAAATTCAAGAAAATGCTGTAACTGCATTGCCAACTTTAAAAGGACAAAGTTTTGTGTGAGAGAAACGGTCTGCAGACAGCAGCTAAGAAGCTTGATGTTAGCTCATGGGTCTTCTTTTAGCAACCTGAATACTAACAACCCTACCAAGCAAACTCATCCAATAAAAAAATACAAAGCCAGTACACTATCTGATAGTGAAGCTAGAGTGAGTAGTTTCCATGTTCCACCACAGTACTTGAAAGACACCTGGAACAAGAGATCTCTTTCAAGAATGTTTATTCACCTCACACTATGATAAATAGCCAACAACTAGAAACACACTACAGTTTCATTTATAAGTTCACTGGGTTCTTTTGAGTCAAGGAATCTTTCTCTCCTGCATTATTTCTCTGCATTTAGTGCATAGATGAACTCTTCTAGTTTTTCTTGGATCTGTCTAACTCGTTCTGCAAAACGTGAAAAGAATGTAAACAATTAATGAATACTGCATAAAAAAAAAAAAAAAAAAAAAAAAAAAAAAAAAAAAAAACAAGCATTTTTCTGTGTTCACCACACTTTCCTGAGTAATATATACATTATCAGTTGCCATTTGTAGCCAAGAATATCAATGCTAAATATTCTAAATGACTTACTGAGTTCTTCTGCTAACATAACTCGACGTCCAGTCAACAAGTGTTCTTTCTTGTCACGGTCGCAACCATATTCTTCCAAAACTTCTTTGATTTCTTTTTCTAGTCTCCGTGCTGAGGAAAAAAAGTTGGTACACATCAGGTAGCAAGGCAATAAGACTATAGGCAAATACTAATATAATACATATATTATAATAATATACATTTTCATTGCTGAAATTTAGAACGTAAACAAATAATACCTAAAACTGAAAATATTATATGATATTCTGACATACCTTCACGATTCATAACTTGCTGTCTAAGAGCGTTTGCTGTTATTCTAATCATTTGCTGAATCCGCCAGAAGAGTACTACATCATTACACTCCACCTTAAATATTAGGAAGAAAATTTTCATGAAAAGTCATGGGCAAAGCAAATTAACAGACCACAACTTAGTTATTTCAATAAAGGTTTCTTTCTGTTAAGGTAAAAATATCAGCTTTATCAAATGACAATTTTTAAATGCATAGAGAAATATAACAAGCAAATTATCTTGCCACAACTACTCATTGTGGTATCATTAACAAAGTAGGTGTATCAGTTATTAATCACACATTTACATTCACATATACACACTGCTTACCCCTAATTCTCCCTCAAGCCCTTGATGGTAAGCATAAAAGGCTTTCCTGCAGTCATATGCCTTTGCTAGGGCACGTCTGAGGAAGTGTCTTCGGTACACAGGATGCCACGTTTCACGGATAAATTCGTTGTCTACGTCAACTCCTTGGGCTTGTGCATTCTTGCGGACTTGGGTTACTTCATCATATGTAAGGGTATTTTTGTGTTTCTGGGAATAAATAGAGGAATATTTCTATTAAAAACACACTGGAATTCCAGCTATGAACTGGTTATTACACATCTACAAAATTCTTAACCAGTCCAACTCAGTCATTCACAACATACATAGTCAGACTTCAGGATATTTTCAAGCTCTGATTTGACTGCTGCTCTCCTTTTCTGCTCTTCTGTTGGGTATGACCAATACATCCACTGCTCTTTGGTGCTGGGTCCAACCATCTCCCTGTGATTAAAGAGAAGAAATATCATAAATGCTTTTTAATCCTAATAAAATACATTCAACTTTCCATGGAAAAATTTCATGCCAAAAAAAAACACGCAAGAAAGGAGGAACTATGAAAAAAAAATAAAAGAACAACACAAACCAGAGGAAAAAAGAAAAGAAAAGAAGAAGAAGAAAAAAGACAAGATGAAGTGAAGGAAGTATAGGAGATGAAGGGGAGGATGAAGAGGAGGAGTAGGAAGGGCAAGAGGAGGAGGAGGAGGAGGAGGAGGAGGAGGAGGAGGAGGAGGAGGAGGAGGAGGAGGAGGAGGAGGAGGAGGAGAAGAAGAAGAAGAAGAAGAAGAAGAAGAAGAAGAAGAAGAAGAAGAAGAAGAAGAAGAAGAAGAAGAAGAAGAAGAAGAAGAAGAAGAAGAAGAAGAAAGAAGAAGAGAAGAAGAAGAAGAAAGAAGAAAGAAGAAGAAGAAGAAGAAGAAGAAGAGAAGAAAGAAGAAGAGAAGAAGAAGAAGAAGAGAAGGAGAAGAAGAGAAGAGGAGAAGGAGAACAAGGATGAGGACAACAAGAACAAGGAGAAATGGGCAAAGGGGAAGAAAGAGAAAGAGGGCAATAAAAGAGGAGAGAAGAGCATAAAAAATGACTACAGAGCAGGGAAGAGCATGAGATGAACAACTAAAAATGAACTTGTAAAGATGACAGGAAAAGAAGAAGAGGAGGAGGAGGAGAAGAAGAAAAAGAAGAAGAAGAAGAATAGGCAAAAGCAATACATCTCCGACCAATCTCCAAAGAACAAACCTCAGGGTAGACTCAGTGGTGTGAAGCTTATCTTTAACCGATTCCTCCAAGAATTTGCAAGCTGCGTCCCACTGTTGCTTGTCATGGACCGACCTATCCTCCAGGGCATTTAGCTGGATTACTCTCAACACATCTGCAGCCTTAAAAAACAAAATTAAGTAGGACCAAAGTTCTTATTTATAGCAAGTGTAGATTATACATAAGAACAAGATAATTAAAAATAAAAATATTTTCAGAATGAAGACCAATAAATTCTTATAATGCAAAAGAATATGAGCTGCCAGGACTATACAACCTTCTTAAATTCTTTCCATTCTTTTGGTAATGAAAAACACAACATATGACATATATTTGTGGGTTTGACCAAAATATATGATGAGTGAGTAGGTTAACATGTAAAACAATGATCTACTGAGTGATAACGTAACTACTAGCCGCCAGGTGGCATGTACGTACATGCCATGGCTGTTGTGGACCGAAAAACGGATTGCATATATCATGATTATTCCCATGCCAGACGGAGTTTGTTTTTCTCCAATAGTGGTGGCTTCATTTATATGGTAAAGATTTTAGGCAATAGCACCTATAATGAAGGTAAACCTTCAAAGTTATATTTTTATAAATTATAATAAAATACAAGCTTTTAGGTGCGAAATGTCACTCGCAAACTACCAAATGAGCTGGGCGCAAACAGGGGAAACTGCCGATGTGTGCCAACAATCCCATTATCATGTCAACTTGCCTAACTTTTTTACCCGGCAGCACTGGGTTAATAATACTTAACTTCAACTATATGTAACTGCCTCTTTTGTAAACAATTAATCAAGTAAATATGTTTTATGTTTAACTGTCAAAAATGCTAGTAGTAGTGAATGGGTTTCCCACAAATCTGTTTTAAACAGACCCCCTCCCCCCCTACCTAAATACAAACTATGTATTCATGATATCCAATGAACATCTAAAAAATGCATACCTTATCTTCCCACTCATGGCGCCTCATTGCCTCATCTACAACACAGGCTTTCAGGCTGTCAAAAATGTCATCATGGTCCTTTGAATTTTTGGCTCTCTCCATGAACTTTCTGAACTCATCTTCCAGTGTTTCCCAACCAACTTCAACACATTTCTTGGGAAGCATACCATCAGCCCACTGCTTGAGCTTAATATCTGCTGTAGTGTTAAATGTACCTGTATGAGAAACAATTAAGAAAACTATTAGCAATGTATCAAAACACATTTCAAAGTGAACAAACCAAGTGAAGTAGAACTGGAGCAGAATTCTAACCAAATAGAAACACATATACACAAATAATCATTAATCTTTTCACTCACTAATTCTCATCTGTTTCCTACTCTTTCAAAAAAAATCTCACTATTTCCCTTTTCCCTCCTACCTCTCCCCTCCTTGCTCTTTTCCCTCTCTCCTCCCCCGTCACTTTCCCATTTCCCCTCTCTTTTCCTCTCTCTTTCCCTTTCTTCTTCCTCTTGTGTTTCCATCTCCCTCTCTCTCTTCCCCTTTCTATTTCCCTTTCCCCTCTTCTCCCTTCTCTCTCTCCTCCCCTTCTCCTCACCCCTTTCCTTTCCTTCTCTCTTCCCCCTTCCTTTCCCTCTCAAGAAACTTTTCTTAGGTCCTGACTGTCAATTCTTTAAAAAATCATGTGTCATGAGCACTAGGACTCATGTTGATCATCTTCAAGAAACTGAGTGTCAGAAAATGTTCTAGAATATGGCCTCCAAGCCCCTCCCTCTATCAGCTGATTTGCAATGAACTACTTGAATCTACTTACCAGAATTTTCTGTTTGTGCAGCTGGTAAATATATGTTTTCAAATATGTGGTTTGTG